GTGTGTGTGTGTGTGTGTGTGTGTGTGTGTGTGTGTGTGTGTGTGTGAGCAGGAAACAGAATTCCTCATAAAACTAAACAGTGAACTAGCAGATATGAGCAGAGATGCAAATAGGGTGACAGGAAGCACTTATAAGTCTTTATAATAATCCTACATCTGTACAAATCTGTGATTACAATAGAGCATTATACCTTTAATCCCGACTAGGTTTAAACAATTTAGAGATACATAGAGCTAAAGTGGTTGAGACTGCAGGAATAATGTCAAACATTGTATAGTGACAAACTTAGTATTTCATTTAACTTTTCAATTAACAATAAATTCCCACTTGTGATTACGACAGGTAACTAGTTACAGGCGTTATAATCTTTCTTTGACAGCTAATTTAAGATAAAATCTCACAAAATGTGGTGGCACTGATGAGTTACAGAAACCTTGGGTTCTTTTTTGTGATGGAGATTTTTTATAGCACTGGGATATTGTATATTATCATACCAGATTGAATTAAAAAATGTGCTGGTTTTTATGTGTCTCCCAATTAATTTTTTTGTTTATCTATGCAGGGATGTTTGGCTGGAAAACATGGAAGGTGAAGCAAAGTCCAACTTCCCACAAGCATACAGCAAACGCTGCCCACTGGTGCACCATGTGCTTCCTCCTTTACTCACGGATCCCCAGAGATACTAAACTCCAAAGCTACCAACTTCTTTGAAGTCAGGGCACAAACTGAATTATTTGGACAAAATGAAGTCTGAGCCGACCAATAGCCCATGCAGGCCCACACAGCGTAGTCTGGCTTCTGTGTGAAAATACAACAGCGAAGCTGGCATTGAAGTTCACAGCTCAAAGAGGAGTGCATGTGTGTTTAGGTGTGTGTGTGCGTTTGATGGAAATAATGAGATTGTATCGTCCACTATCCTTTTTTTCCTTTTGTGAATTCATTATGGGCACCTGGCCTGGACAGTTGAAGGAAACCACAGCAGTGAGTTTCAAGGTTTTTGTTCAGATTCAATAGTGGCTTTTGGTTGGACATCAATTTACCATAAAAAAAGGAAAAGCTATTCTTCCCCACAGCAGAAAATGAGTCTTTTCAAAAAATTTAAACAGGCATGCCTCCATAACACTTTGGCAATGACAAAAATAAATTATCCCTATGAATCTGAATCAGTAACCAGGCTAGAATACTGGGTATGAATGCTATGAAAGACCTCTGAGACTAATTTAAAGGCTTTCTATTGATTGTCTGTGATCTCTACAGCTGCATTTATTGCTTCATATATTTACCAAGAATAAACAGCAATGTCTCATGTCAAATAAACCCAAAGGAAACAGCAACTCTCCAAGAACCATCCTAAAACATAACATTTGGCTTTACAAATTAATTGGTTACGCTCCCCTGAAAGTCAAATAGCTTTGTATATAAACATGGATGTTTAGCAGCCCCCAACATTACTCTGAGACGAAGATGCCACATCCGAGAAACTGAAAAACTACCAAATGCATGATCAAATAACATTTCGCAGCATTTCGGTGTGAAATTCCATGAAATTCACAACAGCCTAATGTCTCTATACGGGGTGCTAGCACAGAATATGTTAGAAACAAAGGAGCATTCAAGCTGGGCGAAACAGTTTTATCTTTTTACCTTTTAGTGGAGGACACACCGCCATTGACAAAGAGCGACATCATAGGATCTGGACATTTTCTATTGTGTCAGGGGCTTTTTATTTTTTCTCAGCGCAAAGCATGGGACAAGACAGGAATAAAAGTACATAATAGTATCATTAAGCAAAAAAACTTTGCTTGAGGTCCTTACCGGGAAGTAGCGTCCATCCAACAGCCTGACTCACTCAGGGTTCGCCGTGCGCCCTGAGCCCCGGTGCTCCATCCCGGAGCCGCTCACTGCTCCTCCGCCTCCTCCTCCTCCTGCCCCCCGCCGAAATCCAAACTCAGTCCTCCAGCCAGGAGGAGGGGAAAAGATACAAAAGGATAGCCAGGGGATGGTTCAGTCACAAGTTTCGGAAAAAATGGTGAAAAGTTCAGTTAAACATGAGGAAGCACGTCCCCGGTGCGTGTGCGCCCCCTCGGTTTCTGGACGCGCCGCGCGCTCTCAGGTTCCGGAGTTCAGGCGCACCGGGGAGGAGGAGAGCTGCGTCAAGCCAGCCAGCCAGAGGAGGACCAGAAACACTCCCAATTTACCTTCAGAATAAGACCGACTGGTCCAGGAAGTTGTACACACGACCATGTTTTGCGTTTGACGCTGTGAAAGAAAATTTAAGGAATCAAGATAGATCCATTTTTCTTTTACACAATAACGTGCTGGAGCCAAAGCCACATATCTGTAACAGTAGTTACAACCTGCCAACAGACAGACAGCAACAAATAACCTGTTGAAATACTTGTATCTTTAAATAAATGCAACAGAATATTGCAATCTGTTTTGTTTATTTAATTTAGCCAAGTTACACTTTTTGGCTCACACCAATGTTAAATAATAACTATAACTATATTGTGTGTTTTTAGTGTTGTAATCATATACATTCGAAGACCATCGAAATTTTTTATTCACACTTTTTTAAAACTATTACACCATCTGAGAGAAAGTGATCAATGTTGATTAAAAATGCACCAATTTCATGCAAAATATTAAATGATAGAGAGCAGTGAGGATCACATGATAATCATGTATGGTAGATGTAAAAATCACTTCACCTGCATTTGGCAGGGTGCTGAAAGTCTTGCTCTTTGCACACAATGTGAAATTGAGGTGGAGATCAGCTGAGTTGTAAAAATGTGTCTGAGTATAAAGTTTTGGAAATGTATGTGAGATGAAACATGGAATGACAGACAATCAAGCTGATTGGTGAGTCAGATATAATTAAATCAGTCCAGATGAAAACAGTTTGTCTTTTATTTTTCACAGTAGTCTTTGTTCAACCTTAACCCATAACATGGAAACTGGACTTTTCTTTTGAGGAAACAAATCTGAAAATTGGAAACAGTAAAAGGAATCCAAGATATGTAACATCAGTAAATGTTTACAAATGAATTGTGGAGACCACTAGATCAGTCTGACTGGTATTATTGAGATTTTTCTCAATATCGATCAAACCCAATGTGTCTGTGGGGTCTTACAAAGTCAAACTAATTATTAATCTTTTTGTTCAGAAAGGAAAATGATGCTTAACCTCTATCGGACACCCTCTCATTTTGATACTGTAATACAAAATTAAGAATTGCTACAAAGCTGTACGGACTAATGGTGGGTGGGTCTATTGGTAGTGTTCAATTATGAGAAACTCTGCCCAGTTCAGTGATGGTTTTATTTTGAAGGTAAAGCTTATTTCTAATATTGCATAACTTGACTCTGATAGAGTGAGTCAGAGCATGTGACTTGTCCTCTCCTCTGCCTGATGGTACACCCTTTTCCAGTATCCCTCTCCCAGGCTGTGGCAGGCAGTTAGCGCACCAGTCGCCGGCCCTTGATGGCGCTGAGGGAGCGTGTGGGCAGGGGGGGGGGCAGTCACACCCCAGACCAAGTTCCACAGTCACACTCAGCAGGGGCGTCCACTCACCAGACCCAGAAAGCTCCAACACAATACCTTCAAATCTGCTTATATGCTTTGTCAGGTTTCAGAGCACAGGGGATTACTAATGACTGATATGAGCAACTACTGTGCAAGATTTCCATAATAGTGGGGAGGGAAGTAGAGCTCCCAGATTGGTACTTTGCAGTGAATAGTTCCCTTAATGTACACGTTTTTTAGCCTTTATGAAAAGATGTCCATGGGAGACTGACATTATACTGTAAATGTAAAGGGTGAAAAAGAGAGAACAGTAATCTTGAGCATCCTTAAATAGGGATGAAACTAATTATAGCTCATTTTTCTGGGGGATCCAAGGAATTCCCCGGAGGCCCTCTGGCTCTCCCTGGATCCCAGTCTGGGAACAGTACATTGGCGGTCTTTGTAAACATCTTACAGGATGGATCCGTTTTCAACACTCTTTAACTGATCTTTATAATCCATACATTGCCTCTGAACTGCCTTTAAGGGGCGTTTTCCGGAAACAGCTGGAACACCCTGAATTAATGTCACCAACGTCTAAACTGACTAATTATGAAATCTCATTGTCCTCCTCTGCCCCAGAGTCATGGTACTGACATATGTCCAACGAGCTATTTTTGTACAGCTTTATGATGACACAGTGAATTTCAACATCAAATCATCCATTTAGACATCTGTGTGAATGTCTATCCATATTCTGTGTGATTCTTTAGGCCAGTGACCCGAAGCCATCCAACGGAAAAAATGTCACGGTGAGGGGGGTCTGGACAAACTGACAGAAAATTAATGACATGAATAGTGACTTTTTTCAAATTTTCTATAGATATCACAATAGTATCATTGTCATAAATTCTATTATCCCCACTGCGGTGCAATTTACATATTTTGTGGTGACAGACCTAATTTGAGCATTTGAAGCTAAAACAGCTCTGTATAGGTACAGACATGGCATTTGCTGGCATATTTTTTGACCAATTTTAGATTCCCTGGTCAGACTGTTTTCCATCACATCCATCAGATTTTTCATCAGATTAAGATATGGGGAGAGCATAATTCATGTCTGTGACTTTTTTCTTCTTTTTTTGCACAACGGGGTATATTTTCACCAAATAAATGTCAGGTTTTCAAGCAGAAAATTGCCCAATAGGATCATTATCATTCACCTCACCTATCACTGCTTTACTGTTGTATTCAGCTTTAGCTTAAATTGTCTTTCCCGTGCACATAAAGGTGGGTTTTTAGACAAATGAACATATTCAGACTGAAAACTAAGCTCGGCTTTTACCGAGTGTGGGGAAACACCATGTAACATCCCATTAATATCAACCGCAGACAGACTCCTCTCTGCTTATTTAACTCGAACAATTACAGTATACGTCAAGGATTTATTATGTCTCAACAGCACACTTTAAAATATCTGGGACAAATTCAAGCACAATAGACCTCCAGCTGATATCTTTCTCTCCCTGTGGAGGAAACTGGTGAACGTTGTTTAAAGCTTCTGCGTGCGTGCGTGTGTGCGTGCGTGTGCGTGCGTGTGTGTGTGTGTGTGTGCGTGCGTAGGAAAGAGAGAGAGAGAGGAAGTTGTTTCTCATCAGCTGTTATTGGGTCTCTCTGGCTTTGTTTCTTCTCTCCTCCTCTCATTCGGTTTCCTCTTTTTCCAGCTCGCCTCACCCATCTCACACTTAGTGTCTAGTGTAACTCATGCAAGACTTTCTGCTCCACGGAATCATTTCATGCATTTTTCACTCCAGCTCTGTTCTGTCTCCGTGGTGTTTTAGGGCTGGTTTACATTAGCAATGAAATGCACACACACAATAACAGATAGAGAATAGCATCAGCTCTGTTATCGGCTGAGGATGGATATCTAGGCCAAACATTATTATCGGTGTGTGGTAGGCGCCCGATGGTTGTGTTTCCATGGTGACCATCACACAACCTTATATACGGAGAAGTGTTATATCCCATGCAATCGTCTCGACTGCACACACGCGCACACACACACACACACACACACACACACAGTGGGAATTCGATTACAGATCAATAATTCTGATCAATCACCGACATTCCCATGACAACCACCTCAGGGCACATCCCGATCCACTCTCCATGCTGATGTGCAATGACACTGAGCTGGCGTGGCCCTTCACCTGACCTAGTTACATAAAGAGGTCAACAGGGCACGCAAACGCATGGATATTGTATGGTCAGGGGTATCCATGTCAACCTCACCAGGTTTCAGTTTTCGGAACAAATAATTGTGTGTCTCTAATGACCGTAAAGAAGTCTTTCCCATCTCTGGGCTCTGGGTCTTCACCCTGATGCTGAGGGTAATTCTCTAGATATCAGCCTGTAAAGTTACCGTTAGTGAAAGACTGTCTGAAAGAAATAGTGATCTGAAGTTTAATGAGAGGAAAAGGTATGAGAAACAAAAATGAAACCAAAAAACTAACCATGTTTTTTGGTTTTGGATGATGCAAGTTAATGTCTATCAAAGTTTGAGTGAAGATAAAGTATAAAAGGTGTAATGAATGATGGATTTGCAGTTAAAAGGGGACAGTAAAGTGAATGAACTGCAAAGCACGATAAAAACATGTCTGGGTTTCTGTCATTCCAGAGTAAGAAACCGAGGTTAAAAAGTAGAGACCTGAGTGAGAGAAAAGGAAAACAGCTCTCCATTCCCACTCTGAAGAGTGGTTGTGTTACCCCGCATTCTTAATGGGCCAGACCCTGATTGTACCAGCAGGAGATGGTAAGTCCACAGTAGGAGGTCCTCATGATGTCTGAAGCCACCAGATATTTATCTATGCTATAGATATTTTTACTTTGTCTGGCACTTCATCAAAGACCAATTGGCATAAATATCCTTGGCTCCGTGGGCCCATTTAATCCCTCCATTACATAAACAGGTCATTCATGGAGGGTTGTGAATTCACATCAAGCCTAAGAATGAGTTAGTGTCAGTTTAAAACTCAACAGAGTTGTTCATGTTAAAGGGTTAGTCAGAGAAAAAAAACAATGACGTTCCAGTTGGTTGGAAAACTGGCTGGAAAATGACAGCATAATAAAAACTGAGTATCTGTTGCTTCAGAAGTTGGGTTTGATGGGCCAAAAGCAGGAGAAACAATCCAATCCAACATTAGCAAATTGCAATGCACATGGTTTTATTTCAGTCAGAGCAACTAAGTAACTCCTATTGTCTTTCTGAGTGTGTTAGCAAGTTGACATTAGCATTCAGTTCAAAGCACCACAGTGGTTGAACAGGTCACATCAGATTTTTGAGTCTCCACTTTTCTTGAGTATATAATTCATGTGTAAAACTCTGACTGAATGCCCTCCTTGTGGTTTTTCTGGTACAAAACAAAGTGTGAGAAGATGCTGTACATGGCCCCTATGTTCACAAGCTTTAAAACACAGAAAATGGGATGGCATGGTGGTTAGTCCTGTCTCTTAACAGGAAAAAGTGAATTAGTTAACTTGAGGAGGGCGTGAGTAGTCACTGTTGTTTTGTGTTGGATAGATGAACCGACAAAAATGGTCCCTACCCGTCACTTGCATAACAGTCCCGCTTGAATAAATGAAGAAGGCAAATAGAAGAAATATGGAAAAGAGCTGTCACATTGTAGGAGTTATTTTGCCTCCATCACTATTTGGGGTAACCGGATGAAATAAAGCGCAGTCAAATATCCTGAAATATTTAAGTTTGGCACTTCAAGCAAGTGAATTTGAAATTGGGGGTAGGGAAACCCTGAAGATTTTTTTATTCTAGCTTTAAGAAATTAAACCAATGTTTAGACTATATTAAAACTAGCAGCTATTTCTTTTTTTGGAGGGATGAATTTCCTGACTCCACAACATGAGATAATCGTCTTTCCCCGTGGTTTTAGAAATCATAAACATGTCCTCCCCTTGCTGTGTTCCCTAGCTCTCGGACGTTTCCCTCTGAGCAGAAGACATGACAGGCTCAGGCATCTGGCCGGTCAACGAAGAAGCATCTTCTCTGACAATCGCCGAAGAAGTGAAGTTGCTAAGCAACCTTTGGCCTTGATGATCGGAAATGATGTCACACATAAGAGGCAAAACACATGCAGACAAATACACAGGCACATAACAGGTGCAGACACACACACACACACACTGAGTGAACCATGCAGGATGGCAGATGAGAGCAATAATGAGTTTTTGACGGTAATCTGGGTAAGGGCTAAAGCAATATGTTAATCTTCTCTAATGGTCTCACCGATCTCTTACTCCATTAAAAGTGACCTTAAATATAGACACTTGGGCACACACGGATGCACACTTCTCACAATGTATGGACTGAGCTGTGCTTTTAAGCACTGCTGTTTGAGGGAAAATAATCTGCTCCTCTTGTCTCTCTGTTTTTTCAGCCCCTCTGTGAACTCTCCAGCCCTCCGCCTGTTCCCTGAGATCCAGCAGTCATACCTTCCCTCACACTCGCTTCACACGCAAACACAACAAAGCTTCTTGCTGTGTGCTTTAGTATTTTTGGAGCACGCACAGAGAGGAGAACATTTTTATTAGTTATCTCTCTCTCCCCTGCCAATACCAGGAGTGGTAAGGCTTTGAGCGCCCCACAGTGTCCACTCAGTGCCACTGCAGCTTCCATATGGGGCACTCTGCCTAAATTATTAACGCTCTTAACATAATGAGCTGCCAAAGAGCCTGAAACTCATCATTGTGTCATCTTTGGGGGATGAACTCCATCCTCTCTGAAACATCTATTCATTTCCAAGTAGAGCAGAAACGTCTTGTGCTGCAATACATCTCTGACTCTTTGACTTACATGGGGGATGAGTTTTTTTTTCCTTATTTGCCTTTCATTATCTCTCACATTTGGAATTTCTTGCAACAATAATTCAGCCTTAAGAGCCCTGAGTTATCATTATCATGTTTTAGATGTCATAGCTAGGGGGACAAATTATTTATAAAACTAGATCATCCAACAAAGAGTTTATTTCTCATCTTTTTGTTGTTATAATTATGAGAATCACATCTTCCTTTTACACCCTTGGCTGAGTTACTTATGGAAGAAGAACAGTAACATGTGTAACTTCTCATGAATAACTCTTGATAGCTGTTTTGTGCACAATTACAATATTTCATACTTGAAGATAAATATTGGAAAACATGAAATTCTATCTTGCAAATCAAATAAAAAATGTATAAATTGCAAACTGTGAAAACATCTTTCAAGGTTTAATTTCAAGCAACACTGCTGTATAAACATTCCTTTTCTAATCTTCCACTTTGTCAGCAGGAGCTCCAAAAGGTGCATTTGCACTGAAAACTGAACTGCTGATTAAATTACAGAAAGATGAGCAAACGGAGAAGGTTGAAGCACTTAAACTGGAGGCGCTTTTCTCAGGTTTTGACAAGTGTAATATTACTTGTAGTGGTCAAAGGTATGAAAAGTATTCCATCAATATTTAGATCGAGCTGTCACAACAGCATGTGCAGGAATTTCTGCAAGCCAGATTTATTCTTCACGAGGCAATCACCATCTAACAGTATAGTGTCATTTTCATTGATTTATTTCCCTTAGCATCGACTGTAATCAATTTTTCTCTTTACTAAATCGTAGACTTAAGATTTTGGACCAGTTCTTAGCAGTCAAATTTTAACATGTAAAGACTTATGTATGAGCGTTTGTGTAGTCAAGAAAGCACAGCGAAGCCGGTTATATTAAGTCCAAAATTTTTAATTAAAAAAAAAGAAAGAAAAAGCTGACATCTCATTCGTAACAACGCCCGTCCGGTAACCTGTCACATTTCCCACACATTACATTTGAACACCAACACACACTCACTGACAAGTGATACAATTACTGCACCCTTTGAAACAAAACCATGACGACATTAAATAAAAGCATCCTTGATTTGTACAGTCCAGTGTGGCATATATGCATAAACATTTACTTTAATTCAAAGAACAAAACATTTGTCAGTTTGAAGGTCTGAGCTCAGGTTGTTAAGAACTTAGTCCCCAGGAATTTCTGAAGATTTCCCTTTATTACCCCAGGTTGCAAAGACTGTATTGAGTTTAGTACGATGGTCATCTATGCAGAAACTTGGTTTCCATTCTCATTTCATTAATGACAAACAAAAACTGCACAGGCATAAACTAAATTAAACTAAACTAACGGCTCCCATTGGAGATTTTCGACGTTTTGAAATCATAGAAAGCATTTGTGGTAAATGTGCTGAAACTGCAAGTAGCCTTTGGAACAAAAAAAAAAAACAAAGAACTTATATCTGAGCACTAAAAAGCACACTGGGATGTGAGCGAGACCAACAGGAGAAACAATATGAAGTATATGTTCATCTCTATATACAAATGAAATAAGGACAGAGGAAGAGGAATTCCTCCTCTGCAAAGAAGAAATCGCATCCCTGAGAACCGTTTGTTATTCCTACCGTTTAAGATTCATTACTGTGTAATCAACAAATAGTCAAGTCCTTTCAGGTCAACTTCAGATTGATCTCCAGTGCTCCACAGCATCACTCCAGTCTTCCATAACCCCAAAGCAAGACCCCCCTCTTTATGGAGACCTCAGCAGTTGACTGGTAAAATGTCTTTGCACGGCAGCAATATTAAGTATCAGAAGAATGACAAAGCAGCTCTAGACCAGTGCCAGGGACAGTCCACCCTGTGTATCCACTCCCTTCCAGCGGTAGATGGAGCAGAGTTACTCCCCCAACTCTTTTCCAACAAAACGGCGGCGAATAAGGCTGAGCCTGTTAGCACGGCACCTCTTTCTCCGTCTTCTTCCCGTCTTCCTCGGAGTCTTTGTCTTTGTTCTTTTTGTGTTTCTTCTTCTTGTGTTTGTGCTTCTTGAGCTCTCCCTCTTTTTCCGGGCCGCTGTGTTTCTTGTGTTTCTTGTGTTTTTTGTGTTTCTTATGCTTCTTCTTCTTCTTGTCTGCTGAGTTGGAGGCCGAGCCGCTGTGGTTGCTGAGCGTGGGGCTGTGGGAGGGCTGGCTGAGGGACGGGCTGGCGCTGCCGCTCCTCCCTCTTTCGGGCTCGGAGCCCTCGCCTTCGCTGTAGTCGGGCACAAAGGCTGCTTCGTCCGTCTCGCGGGCCAGGTCTGAGCACAGGCGCTGCCTCTTGGGCTCTGGCCCACGGCTGTCATCCCGTCCTGCTCCGGCTCGGCTTTCAGCTGCCCTCTCCTCCTTTACCGTCACGCCTCGGCTCTCCTCTCTCCCTCCCCCTCTTCTTTCCTCCTCTTTCACCGTGGATCTCCTTTCCTCTTTAGCTCCTCTTCCCTCCTCCTTAACAACTTTTGTTTTTGCTGGTTTATCCGAGTCCGCCGGTGGAGCCCTGCCACTCTTACCCTCCTCCCTCGGTGTTCTGCCTTTCTTCTCCTCCCGGGCCCCCCCTCTTCTCTCATCTCTGGAGGCATCGCGGCCTTTGCTCCTGGTGGCTTTGGGCGCTTCCTGGTTCCCCTCTCTGCCCCGGCTCCTGGCCGGCACAGGCGAGGGCTCCTTTGCGGGAGCGCTGGGCACATCATCCAGCCCCTCTTCGTCGTCTTCCCTCTCCCACTTTGAGCGGGGCGGCGGCTGAATGAGCGGCTCCTCTCTGGCCGGGCTGGGGGCGGGGCTGGCACTGGGACTGCGAGCGCGGCTGACCGCCGGGCTGGACTGGGGCGGCTCTGCAGGTTTAGAGGATACGCTCCTCTGCTCTTTTTCCGGGTCCGGCTTTTTGTCTTGACTTGATCTAATGTTGTGGAGAGAGCATTTTTGCCGGTTATTTTTAGGGACAAAAACAAACGCCAATAGGATTTTAACATTACCGTTAAAAAGGACTGGGTCATTACTTTTTTTTTTAACTATAGGTTGTCTGTGTCAATCCGTTATCCTACGGTATATTTTACTGTACAGGAAAAGGTAGAACTTGCAAATTTTTGCTCAGGTAATGATTTACATTATTGCAAAATACGGCAATAGTAGAAAACAGAGCTCTCTAATAACAGATTGTATAAGTGAACTAACCAAAACTCACCTAGTGGAGCTGGAACTGTGGCTCGACAGAGCCTTGCGACTGATCTTGGGTTTGCTTTTTGCAGCTGTCTCCTTACTGTCTTTAACTCCTGTCGAAGTTGATCCTGACGGCGAGAATGGATTCAATGAATGCCTCATCAAAGGCACAAGATAAAAATCAATCATGTCAAACTGCACTTTTACTGAGCTTTAAATTACCCTCTCTGTGAGCAGCAGCTGCTTTCTCTCCAGAGAGGACACTCTTCTCTGCTCTGTCCTTGGAAGCACTCCTGGGAAATGAGAGAATATAATTACACCTATTAACAACTTTGTTCACAGACAGATCCGGTATATCTTGCCTTCTTTCAGTCAGGATTATGGATGGTGTTTTGACAAGCAGAAGAGGAAAAATGTAATAACCTGTCAGACTTGGCCGCCCGCTCTGACCCCTCGCTTCTCTCCTTGGAGGAAGCACTGGGTTTCTCCTGGTGGTCTGAAGGTCTCCTGGTGACGGTGGATTTCTCTCCGATGGTCATTTTATCGACACAGACGGACCTGCCCCCCGCATTACTGCTGCCCGAGTTCTTCCGCTCCTTCTTCTCCGACTTCTCTCCCTCTGCGTCCCTGTCCACCGCCCCCTTCTGCGAGCCTGACCCAGAGACCCGTTCCCCCTCCCTGTCGGTACCCACATCTCTGTCCGAACCGGACGCTCTCTCTCTCTCTCGCTCTCTCTCTCTGTCCTGTCCAGAGTGTCGGTCTGGCTCTCTGTCGGAGCCGTGGCGTCTATCTCCAGAGCTGTTCGTCTTCTCTCTGGAGACCCCCCTTTCAGTAGTTTGCTCTTTTCTTCCAGCTCCTTCTGTTGAGCTGCTGGCTCTCTCCACCTCGGAGACGTGGGCTGATCGGTCTGAGGCGGCGTTTGCCTTCTCAGAGCCCGACTGTGTCCTGTCTGAGGGTGCCGACTCGGTGCTGCCTCTCCTTCCGAGATCTCTGTTTAACTTTATCCTTCGCACTGGCTTCTAGGGACAAGAGAAAAGCAATTAAACAGGGTCTAATCAAAACACCACGACAGTAGATTGCAGTCTCTGAATATAAAAAAAAAAAAAAAAAATCAGACATATGATATATTTAAACAGGAAGATAAATAAAACTGTCATCATTGGAGCTCTGAACACAACAGCACCAGCAGGATGGGGTGAATGACAGAATATAAGCCTTTTCCCAGCAGTGCATCCTCTTTCAGAGGTTAGTAAAGAGCTTGATGTGAGGACAAAAGATAGACCCCACTGCATAATTCTGGTAAAAGTAGACTGATCCAAGAGAAAGCTCCTCAGTACTCGCATTAAAGGAATAAACTGACTGACGTATCCAATCTTCCTTTCTTTTTTTTAAAAGATAAATATTTTGTCAGCATATTTCCTCTATGTGTTTTGTCAACCCTAAAAAACAGAAATGTCTTAAATTTGGAGGAAAATTTGAGGGCAATTATGTATTGTGATCACCTGAATTTCCATCAGAGGTCTAATGGCTGCTCGATCAGCTTCTCCTTGGATATGTTCGCGCCTGCCTTGTGGGGGGTGAAAACTGGACCTGTCGGAGGGGGGCGGGACCCTGTGGAATATGGGCTGATGGGGCATGTGGGAGTGAGCCATGACGTCGTTCCCACTGCCAAAGCCGTCTATCCGCCTCAGCTTATCAGGAGGGGGTCCAAGTAGAGAACGACACTCGTCGCCCATCCTCCTCCTGCTGTCCACTGACGACGGAGGTGGGAGGAGGAGAGGGAGTCCATGAGGATGGGGGTAAGGAAGGAGCCCGACGCCCTGTGGAAGATCTCTTCGACCACGCAACTCGTTGCCAGCCCGAGCACCTTCGTGAAGAGAGGGGTGAGGCAGACTCTGGGAGGGCATCGGAGGGGTCTTGATCAGAGGAGGTCTAACAGCAGAGCATTTAGTCTTCTCCTTTTTAGGGGTAGCTGTATTTGAGGATTCCTCTGGTTTGTTTTTTGTGCTCTTTATTGGTTTTGTAGCAGATGAGGAGGAGGAGGACGACGACTCTTTCTTTTTGGCGACCACAGGCTCTGCAGGCTTCTTCTTCAACTTGTCGCTCTTCACCTTCAACCCCTCCGTCTTCACTTTAGCTTTCACCTTTGGATTCTTCTCTTTCTTCGTCTTGTCAGGCTGAGTCTTTGATGCCGACTTGGTTGTGGGTTTGGCGGGTGCAGCATTGCTTTTGGAGGCTGGAGCTTTGGAGGCTGCAGTACCAGTCGCCTGCCTAGAGGAGATGGGAGGAGTTTTAGAGTGTGAGGCTATTTCATCCATGGGTTCATCCCTGACGGGAGTGGCGTCGCCTCTGTCCAGCGACTGCTGAGATCCTTCGGGTTCATCTCCCGCCCTCCTCTTCTTTATTTTCTTTGATTTCAAAATTTTAGCGCTGGACTTGGTCCCTGATGAGGAGGAAGATGGGAGGTGGTGAGGTGGTGGTCCTCGCTCTTCTCTTCCTCGTCTTCCTCTCCCCTGGGGTGAGTAGTCTCGGGATGAAGACATTTTTTCCCTTTCCCTGTCCCTGCTGCCATGACCTCTGGGATGCAGTGAGGCATGCTGGCCGTCGTAGTCTTTGTAGTACTTGTTATACCAGTCTGCATACTCCTTCTCCCACTGTCGATATCGCTCTCTCTCCCAGCGGTCTTGGCCTGCAGGAGTGGGTCCCTTCATGTCAAACAGAGGCAGCTCTCGGGGTGGTGGCTTTCGCCCACCGGGGCTGCGGTTCCGATAGCCACCAGGGGAGCGGGAGCGGGACCTGAAGGGCCCGGCCCCCTCTGCCCCCTCCCAGGCCCCTCCCCGGTAGGAGAGAGGAGAGCGCGGTGAGCCAGAGCGTCGGTAGCTGTAGGACCTCGAGCGTGAGCGGGACCTTGTCCGCGAGCGTCCATAGCTGCGTCCATTTCGTCGAGAGTAAGGCGAGCGGGGATAAGACCGGCCATGTGAGCGGGAGCGGGATCGGGATCGACTTGGGGTAAACGAGTAAGACCTGGATCTTGATCTGGATCGAGATCTAGAGCGAGAGTAAGGAGAGCGGCTGAACGGAGAGCGGCTGTATGACCGGGACCTACAGAAAAAAGTCAAGAGTCAAGTTAAGCAGATTCCAGAGTCTGTGCAGCAAAGTGTGGGTAACAAAATTACCTTGAATAAGGTGGCCCCCGTCTCTTTGGTGCATTTCTGTACTTGATAAGCTCTTCATGGAAGTCTTTAGTAAATTCATCCAGTTTGGATGTAACTCTGTAAATTAAAAAGTAAATGTATAAATTATTTCACTTCAACTTTTTCATACATGTGATAAAACCTATAATGAGAGATATTTGGTGATATGCTGTGTAGTTTCTCACATCAGAGACTGAAACTTCAAAAACCTCTAAGCAAAAAAAAAAAAAAAAACCTTACTTGTCTTGTCTGTGGTGCCTCTCTCTGTAGAAATCCTCATTTGTCAGAGGGGGCTGCGACAGGGATGGCGGTAAAGGTAGAGGAGGGGGCTGCGTACCAGGGGTCACCCAGTGGGGGTTGAGCCCAGGAGGTCCAGGGGCATACATAGGCTGTGGTGGGTAACTGAGAGCAGGTGGACCAATTAGGCCTGGACCAGAGGCGTAGGGGGGTGGGTAGGACTGTGGCGGAGGAGGATACAGGAGAGATGCGTAGACTGAAGGATTTGGTGCAGGAGGTGGAGCCACATGTAAGTGAGTAGAGGGATGCTCCCCTCTTCCTCGATACCTGTACAAATCAGGACAATAAGCATAAAACCAACACATTCCAAATAATAAATATGAGATGAGAACACTGGTAAAGACCTACCAATTTCTAGGTGGTCCTCTTTGAGAGTGGTGTGCCCGTGACTGGTGACCTAACACAGCAAAGACAATCTGTTACTTTTCTTTTCTTGCCTCCTCTTTAACCTTTATGATTATGAAATTTAATATATTCAATCTCTAACCAGAAGGGTGGTGTCTTGTGGTGGGCAGGGGAACAACGGGTAAGCTGTAGCTCTGTGGAGAAATTCATTGCAGACAAAAGTAAATATCTCCCAAAAAAATGATGACCGGAAATGTACAGTGATTTCTTTGAATGATTTTGCAGGACACACCAACAAAAAGAGCACCTGCAAATTACACAAATATCAATCATGTGTCATTTGCACTTGCCTGAACTGGTTTCATCAAACTGACGTTTATAGCATTACTCTTAAGCTTTCCTTTGATCTTTAAACTGAGTTGTGTTTTTTTAAAACTCTTTTGAAACAGGGTTGAAAAAATCAAAGGCCCATTTTTGGCTTTACTTTAATTGCAGTTATGAGTAAGGATTCTGCCCTTTACTGAACCTCTCTAGATTATAAAGAGCAGCTCTGTTTTCTGAGAATATCTGCTGATGACAACAAAACTCCTGGAAATGAAGGACCCACCTGTGAGCCACATTCTGAGGATCCTGAGGAGTCTTTTTTTGCAGTAGTGACAGCAGGCTCTGGATCAGTCTCACTAAAACAATGAGCCAAACGAATGACGGGTAAGAACAGCTTCTTAAACATCAGCCTCTGCAGCAGAGGCATATCAACTTCCCCATAAAGCCGATTAGACATACCCTGGTGGGGGTGGTTCATCCTGGCTGGCGGTGTGCATGGGAGAGTGACGGTCAACAACAGGTGCCGGGGCTGGCGAGTCCTCTTTTTCTTCAACAGGAGGAGGAGTAGGAGCAGAGGGAAGAGCAGGAGCAGGAAGGACGACTTCCACTTTAGGGGTTATTGCAGGTGCATTTGTCGAAGAAGAGTTAGAGGTATTGACCAGAAGAGGATCCTGCTGCCTGGACTGCAGAGGCCTGACAAGCTGTGGGCGTGGAGGTGGGGGGGCCGCATGCTGGAACTGCTTGCGACTATGTTTGGTGTATCCAGTCTCATTCTTAAAGTTGTTCACAGCCTACGTACCACGACACAAGAATTGTAATTGTGTAAAAAAGTAATCCAGCATAAATTAACCCAACTGCAAACTGGAATGCATCCATTGAAAGGGAACTCACCTGTCGAAGAAACTTGTTGGCAATGAGATTGTCCGGTGAAACGTCGGACTGTTTGCACGTGAAACAGACGTGCTCCTCTGAGTCCAACAAAGCAGTCCTGATACCTGAAAACAAAATTACATGCGGTCAAAATCGTACAGCGAGAAGCACCCTATAACCACTTCAGCCCCTTTTTTCTTAGGATCACAGGGAGTCACAACTGCTCACTGAACATTTTTGTTGTGGCAACTGATGAGAACTCACAGTCATCGCAGTAGCTGTTTCCACAGCAGGGAATCACCACAGCGTCGGTCATCAGGTCGTTGCAGATCGGACACAACAGTTCGTCAGGGATTGGGTCGTTATCGTCCTCAGATGACGACTGGTCGTTTGGAACAAATGGAGGTCGCTCTTTCTTTCCTTGAGCATATGCCTCCCTGTCAAAAACGTCCAAAAAGGTACTGTTATTTATTTGATTTTTTTCATTTTAAGAGGTATTTTGAAAATAAATTCTACAAGAATTTGGAACCCAAACACCAATGCACTAAAGTTTGTGTATTTGGGGCCGATACGTACGCATCAATGGCAGGTATGGCATATTCTCCGGTGCTGGTCAGCATGGCTCCTTTGGCCCCCGGCTCCGCTTTCACCATGAAGCTCTGTGGTATACCCTTACTGATTCTTACAGGCTTGGGCCCATCCACGCTTTTATCCTGCACCTGAAATGCAGAAAAACAAACATTACCCTCATGTATATCAGTTTTAAGGTACAACGAAGCACAGACTACATCGGCATAGATGATTGTTACCATCAGCATGGGGCAGTGCCGGATGTAGTGACCTGCCTTCCCACACCGAAAGCAGGTATAATGCGCGGGTGGGGGTCCAACGGCCTTCTTAGAGTAACTAAGGAGACAAATTGAGTTCAGTTTATTGGAATTACACAAAATATGGGAAAAAGCTTCATAAATTTGAAAGGTTAGAAACAAAGTGTTTTTTTAATGTTTTTTTTTACTAACTGGATAGGATCGTATTCGTGGTTTGACTGGGACATCATGGCTTTTATCTTGTCCTCCTCTGAAGCATTTGCATCCACCAGGTTTGCGGTCTAAAAACACAATGCAGAGGTGAGATTAAGAGAAAACAAAGGTCAACTCTTAATCTCTTTGTAAAACAGTAATCATGTACACAAATGATACCTTGGCAAGCTGGGCAAAAGACATAGAAGGAGAAGAATCCGTCTGCAGGAGAATCAGAATATATCAATTAAAGATGTTCATTTCTATTTGACATGCACTGGAAGAGCCCAGACAGTTCCACACCATGTGTCCAGTCCAGACAGGTCTTCCCAAAAACAAGGCCTTTGTAGCACACTTAAAGCAAATGATAATATGCAATTAACACAAATGAGCTTGGATTATAAGAACATGCCACCCACCCCCACCGAGTGACAATTCTTAAAAATCCAGAAAAGCTACTGTGAAAACCCTGGCTTGCACTTTCTAAAGTTGTTTACATAAAAAAATTGAACGACCGAAAAAACAGAAAGGTTTTCTTGTTAGTGTCCTTACTGATGGCTCTTCAGTTCTGTTCCCAGGTGTTAAAAATATGTCACTTTATTTATTAAGTCATGTTTGCACTTGCAGTCATTACTCAAAGATTGCTTTCGAACCATGAGAAAACCTACATTTCTGCACTATTTATGGTTCGCAAACAATGGCGTTCTTTACTTCTGAAGTACATTAGCATTTAACTACTCTCATGCCGTTTGGTACCAAGACTGGAACTGCATCCTAAAAAAACAAAAAACAACATCTAAATCGTGTCTTTAAAACACAAACTGTCACAACTCTGTGTGCGTATCAATGAGTTCTTAAAGTAGCTCAGAGCATGCACTGCAGTGTTCTTTCCCCAGCCACGAGGATTTATGGTTCTGCACCGGCAAGTCAAAAGCAGCTGTCACTACAGTCTCAAAATTCTATCAACAGTTTGAGATTCATTCAGGAAACTTAATGAGCTGACACAGAATGCTGCCAACTCGTAAAAACAAAAAATGCAAACGCTGTAAAATTTCTAAAATGTACAGCTAGTAAGACAAAAGTGCAGTAATTACTCCATTTCTTTTTTTAGAATAAGCCTGGTTAGGAAAAAGTAACACCGTCAGCAGCTTTTCAAACTGTCCCCCTACACTACAGCAGAGTTAAAGAGGTGACAAGTCTGTAACAACTCAGGAGTCAGAATTAAGTGTTGAGCTCTGAAAAATTCTTATTCTGCTTTGCTCAGCTCCTCTGAAAAAGGTTTGTTAGAAAAAAAAAACAACGGGAGAGCAGGGCGGGGTGTCCATCATGACCGGCAGGGCTCAGAGGAAACACTGGTTATTGCAGTATGCTGTGGAGGGAACACACAGGGATCTGGTGCAAGCGGTTCTGACACTGAACCGCTGAACAACTTTATTGACAGGTTCTGCAGCTTACAGCTTACAGGACACACTACACCGGTATACTTCTCACTGCAGCAACCATGAAGGGCCTCCAGAGAGAGACAGGGCATTTACGTCACCGATCAGGAGCTTTTGTAACTTGTGATCATGTCACAATATTGCAGGTCAGAGGCCAAATCACAGCATCCTTCTTATAAAAACTAGCGTCTTACCGATTTTCTAAACCATAGATGTAATATCACACTTTTTTCTGGTTTCTTTGCAAAAGAAGCACTTAGAATGTTATTCACTTCTGTGCAGCGTAAAATCTGTGAGCCTTAAGTGTTTAAAAGTAATGTGCAGTCCATACTAGATGCAAAACAAAACATCTTCATGATGAAATTGTACAAGACAATTACAATTGACAATAATTGTTACCGAACAAAAGCTCTGAGAATAAAAGGTTCAGGAAGGTAAGCTTTTGATATGAAATAAAAAACCATGGGAGGAAACTAATCCACTCACACAAATTTAGTCTTGTAAATGCAATCAAAGTTAATTACAATCAATCCCAGCCACGCTTTACGTATTTAGATAATATAAAATATACTTTGACAAAAAATAAATGACAATAAATCATCAATACAAATATACCATCTTTTCCGTTTACAAACCCTTTAAAATACATTTGCCTGACCTGAAGCAGGCTACAATATAATTTCAATATGAAGTACAGTCACTTTTAAGTTATTTCCCAGGAAATAATAATGTGGCAACAGTTCAACAGGTAATCAGTTCAATGCATTTAAAAACAGAAACCATGGTGGCCAGTCTGTTTCTCATAACTACGTCTCACTCAGCCACAATGTACTTTAATTTGCTAATTTCAAAATAGAAACAAATCCACGGTGTTCAGAGAAACAACACACTATATTAACTATGGTGAATCCAGGAAACCCTCCCCAAAAAAGACATTAAATAACATAGAAGTTGAAATTTGAACACAAATGTAGCAAACACACAGTGAACAAAAGATACAACTCGATTTTTGTTGACAGAATGTTCTCGAGAAAGGTGATTAAAGCCAGATAGAGTGGGATAGTGAGAGGTGAGGAGGAGAGAGTGTTGTTTTGGGTTTGTTTTACATACGGGTCTCGAAGATCCCACAACAGATGTGTCAGAACGATCTCTGCAGAGACAAAGAAAAAGGTGTTATCAGCCAGAAGCACAGCCGGCCAGGATTCAAATTAAAACAACTACGATATGAGAAGGAATTGGAAAAATATATGCCAATGACAACACATCAACAAAATACAAACAAATCTGAAAACACAAATTCCAAACAGCTCCTTTAAGAGTTTTACGTTGTATTCACTATACGCACACAATGAACGTCCTGCCAGACGGTTTCACTCCACCAATGGGAGTGCGGCGGACGATCACTGATGAGTGTTTTGGGATGTGGGCTTCATCATCTGTGTACTCTAAAAAGGATTTTTTCAATCATTAGACGACAAAAAAACAACAGCAACATATGAACACACATAAGCAATTGTATAGTGCAAATAAAAAATGCTATCTGCCAAAATATAAATCTCTTACCTGATTAATGAATATATAATTACACGCCTTTTTAAAAGTCATGTTAGCATGAAAATGCCCCCCCCATCCCTTTAATTTGGATAAGTATTTTGTCTGCCACCACGTGGTGTCAGTGATTAAAATACCTTCTCGCGTCTGCGCGTTGGTGATCTGCAGGTCGCAGTCTGTGGCCTTGAGACGCTCCCGGGCCATAATCTGCCGTTTAAGCTCGTTGAGGGTGATATGTAGCCCATCGAAAGTGACCGTGTTGTAGTCCAGTTTGGAGGAAAACTTATAGTGAACAGACGACATTTTTACAAGCCTAAGCACTTATAAAGGTCAATCATGTACAAGTGGGGAAGAAAAAAAACACAGGCCTGTCATAAGAAAAATAAACAGCGTCAACACGGAACACAGGAGGCTAAATGTGGGTACTTTAATTAGAAAAACCTTCTATATATGCGCTGAAACACTGGACAAAGCAAGAAATAATATGGGAAACGGTTCAGCTCGCAGATGACGACGGAGTCCTTGTTAATGCCAAAGAAAAAATAAGCTTTGAGGCCAGAGCGCCATTGAAAGGCACTGTGAGCCTCGCCAGTCCTTTAAAGTCCAATAAACACACTCGAGGGGGACCAAATCCAAAAGAGTCCAATCGGTACAATATATTTCTACGTCAAGGACGTAAAACTAGACCAAGTCCGTGGTGTATTGTCCTTGGATGGAAAGCCCAGACCACCGCGCTGCGAGCCGGTTGTGTAGCTAGCAGCGGGCCTAGGCTTTCCACAGCAGCAGTCCTTGTGGCAATGTTTTACTTTTTCCGGAACAGTCCTTACTCAACAAATATGGAGGAAACACTACCGATATCCTCGAAAAAGTCCCAAAAACTTCCAAAAAGAGTTGACAGTGGCTACGTTACTTCAGTAACGACTTCAAAAATGGTATTCAGAAATCGTCCAGTTCCGTGTAAATGTTTTGATAGCTACCGCTAGCATGCAATACATGGAGATTAGCTAATCTGCCTCGCCGTTGAACACATGAAACACCATTGGCCTAACAAAGGCTAACAGCTAGTAGTTAACGGGGCAATGCTAATGTTGTTGATCATGTTAGCTGCAAATAATCTTACAAAATTCAATAGTTTGGCAATAAGAGAGCAAAGATTCCTCTTCAATCCACGATGATTTTACCACCTCGAAAAAACGAAAGCTATCCGTGTAAAATCCTTAAAATCCGTTTCGGTTGTCCGAGTTGCTCCTCTCCTCGCTGTTTCATCAAAATGGCGCTGGACGGAACCGGATGTAACAGGAGTTTAGCGAAGAGTACAGTATAAGACAGGATACTTTCACAGTGTTTGAACACTGAGTTTGAACAGTTTCAAAAACGTCTCCAAGGGCGATTCTGAAGCTTTGTCGTTAGGCTGCTAAACTGTCACAAGGGTGATATTTAAAGAGAGACACTGGCTTAGAACTCCGTATGGGTATATGTGTTGTTTTTATTGAAACAGTGGGACACTACCTAAGAGGAATAATTATTTCGGATTCACAATAAGTGGACATCTATGACTTCCTACCCTATATTCTTTTAATAGCTTCAGTTATGACCATTAAAGATATGTTGCTGAATGCCGGACCTTTATGTTTAGATGCTGCTAATAAAGTTTTTCTCTCCAAAAAAACAATGTTTTTTATATTCATAGCCTACCTACATCTGTCATTAGCAAATGTTGATTTTGAGGTAAGTGATAGCTGTATACTGAAAGACCTCCTTGATGAAAAAAAAAAAGTGCTATAATAAGGTACTAAATAATCTTAGTGTGAAAGGTAGGAGAGTCTAAAACAAAGCTAATAGATTACTTCATATAATTTGTAATCAAAGGAAAATAAGTTACATTTGATGTTCACTGTATTTTGTATTTTAGTTTTTATTCAATTTTCAGAAACTGGCCTTTATGACAATTGGAGATGATTGCTATTTGCCTAACATTTATGACACACAGGGATTTTGTCCTCAAGATAGTCTCTTAGAAAGAGAGACTTTATTTTTTCCCCCTTTATTTAAAGAAATAAACATAAATGACTTCTTCCTGTGATCATTTGACACAGTGAGAAATGAAATGATTTATGTACATCTTTAGGGCTAGGAGGGTTATTACAGCATGCATGGGGCACTGTGAGGTAATTTGTGATATCGAATTCATCACATCTGCCTTAAATGTTTGCCTGGATGATGCTGCTGCCATGGTAACACTCCAGGTTTCTTAGTCTCTGTGCTGTTGTGCTGATGTACAGTGTATCTTTTGAAGCTGTTTTTCCTACACTGTCATCATCAATAACACAGCTCATTCATGCATGTTCATACACAGGAAGGCCTTGATATTGTGTAAGCACAGGGGGTCATAATTTGTCTGTGCCTTTGTTCATATATTTTTACTCAGCTTGGACATCTTACGTAGGGACACGCGTTTGAATATCCGCTCTCACAAACAAACTTGTGCTCGTTCAGCGCAAAAGCCACACCAGTACTCTTCTGAATCCCTCTGTTTTCTAAAGAAGGTCTTTATTTATGAGCCCAAATGTAACATTAGGAAGGTTTCTTACTGTGCACGCTCACAATTGGATTTCACACCCAGACACACAGTTAAGACACAGTGAGACATTGATACAGTGAGCTAAAGCATTTAATGGGGTTTCGATTTTGAGCATTTGGGACACCAAAATGAGGACAGGGGCAGCACACAGTTACGTCACAGTCAGGTGTGCATTTGTTGTGTTTTATTTCCATGTCTGCTTCTTATTTTCATGGACAGCTTCTCCATTCTCTCTTATTGAATGACTGAAACACGATTGGAAACACAGACTCTCAGACATATCTAGTATAGCATTACAGATACAAAAAAAAATATTGGATTTCAAATTGATTTCTTGTTCATGTCTTCTATTTTTCTCTGAGTGTGACGACATTTAATCGGACTGTTTTTTTGTCTCGACCTAAATGATTTACAGATTGACAGAAAAAATATCAGAAACTCTCTAAACCATCACAATGAGAACGCGTCCTCTCTGCTAAAGTTCTGTCAGTGTTCAATACATTGTGTTTCGTCTCTCTTTTTCCAGTCTCTCTCATCTCAAACAGGCGTCGTCCTTCGACTGGACGCACAGTTTCCTGGCAACACTTCTGTGTTGTTGTGTGTGGCTGCTGATGTTAAATCATCCATACCCATGTTAATCTTCCCGTCTTTGAGAGGCGAGGTTAAGGTGTACAGCATGAACTCTGAGTCCAAGTCCATCGGCGAAGGCAGACCTGCCATGGTAGTGATTTTGGATTCAGCTGGGATGTGTGGCTCTCGGCTGCGCATCAGGGGTGTTTGATAAGTGTGTGAGTCCCCCGTGCTGTGGTTACTCTTGTAACTGTAGCGGCGGCTGCGGTTCTGGTAGTAACGGTTGCGGTAGTAAGATGAGTTGCGGGAGATCGGGGGTCTTAAGAGAGACGGTCGGCCTTTAGTGCGCAGCTGTCTGTGCTTTTCAATGAACACGTGCACGGCCAGGACGCCCACCATCTCAGCCAGGACAAAGGACAGAGCTCCAAAGTAAAAGGACCAGCCGTAGGAATAGCTCTTCTTGTGGTCACTTTGGCTGGGGTCACCTGAGTTGGCTGATATGTACACAATGATGCCGATGATGTTACTAAGGCCTGAAGAGGAATTCAGAGGAATATCGAAAGTCATTGTGTGCCAGTTTGACAGAAAAAACAAACAGTAAAACACCTGCAGACTCCTGTACACACTTAGTGTCAGTAGGCAAATCTTCCCTCTGAGCAACAACCTTTCAGAATGATCTTAAAGGTCATGTTCAGGACCTCTGCGAGACTATACAACCACCTTCCACTTTGGAAAACGGAACGTTTCGTTTAGCATGCAGGGAAAATTCTAAGAGATTGACATCAGTGCTTGTGTCTGACCTGCAGAGACAAAGAGAATGCCAGCGCAGAGAATGACATTGTAGCGTGACTTGTAGAATTCACTTGCAGCTACACAAACACCCCCAAGAAAAAGTAATCCCACACTGAGGATGGGGAAGAGGCTGGAGGCTCGTACTGCCCCTGCGGAAAGAGGTGGGACAATAAATTGATGAATTCTATGGCGCAGGTGTCGCCTTGTTGAATATACTACATAATGGATGCTATATTGTCAATGCAATGCTACATTGTTACCCACTTAGTAAGTACTCTGCAGCATCTTGCTCGTAGTCTGCATCATCGGGAAAGTGATCAATGTCTTTGCAAACGCCTTGGAAAATCCCTGAAGAAAAAACACATAAAAGGCTGTAACTCCAACAGACTATATTTGCATACTCATTATAAACAATTACAAGCTTCATTGGCTTTTGTCAGTGTATGGATTTCTGCCTGAGTACCGAATGTGAAACACAGAGTTAACCCAAACTGAACATTTTGCACACTTGTAGCCAGAAATATAACCTTGTTTTAGAACTATTTCCCTACATGTGCAAAAGCCTGTTATTGGAAGGTACCACTAGGAGGCACAGCAGGAAAATGTAAACAATAAACAGGTGATGGTACCTGAGTTTGTTCTTGTTCAATGTAAAGACCACAACGATGGTATTTAAGGCACCCGGTCAATACTGTCCGTGTCACAGAGCTTTACAGGTAAGCAGTATTTTTCAAGTTGGTTCCCAGAGTTTTAGCCAGATTGAAAACGTTTGCACTTTCAAATTTAGGATTTTACTAAAATCACACGCTATCAATTTTAAGGTCATTTTTTAGAAGCGCAGCATAGTGTTGTGACTGCAAAAGCCTCTCTGGGACCTACTGGAACCAAGAGTTAAACAAAACAGCAGGAAGCTATTTAATGCCCAAAAAACAACTTCAGTAAGGAGGTGGTATTTTTAGTGATTATGGTAGAGCATGAGAAAGAATTATCCATCAGAGAAAAACAGTATGATTTTTTAGCTTTATAAATTGACTATGAGTATTCACATTCAACGATAAATATAATTTACATATGTATATGAAATAAAAAAAACTCTTAAAGCACAAAACTGCAGTAAGGCACAAGACCGGGATATTTGGTGAATGACACTAAAGCCCACAGACTCTTTACATAGTACCACTTCGAGGTCATTCTCTGGCCCTCATTAAAGGGAGATGTGGGGTCACGTACGAGTACACACTACCCTCCTACACACCGACACACTTTAAGAGAGATCTACAAAGAATCATTCATTGTTTCATGCCTGCTGCCATCATTACCCCCTGCCTTTTAATATTTACACAAAAGAATATATTGATGAGTTTGTTCCTGTGAGTCCCACTGATTTGACCAGTATTGACTGTATGGGTTGATCGTCATGGTTACCAAAGCAAAACTCACTGGGCTGCTACAAATCTGCCTTGTTCAGTGGAAAAAAATAGGTTGTTTTCATGAGAAATTTTTATTTATTTTGTTTAAATCATTTCATATCAGTGTGTCAAACCTGTATGTCGAACCAGTGTTTAACAACCACACAGTCAAAGGCTTCTGGCTTGCTACTACAGTTTTACATTGTATACGTTGCCCTGGAAACTTATAGATCTCTCTGCCCTTTGTGGCTTTTAATGACACAGAGCATGCAGAGGAAGCATTAATGTACTCTGCATACTTTGTTGCTTTCCCATTAAACCATTTAAAATCAGACTGAGGACATAGCAGGAGGAGAGGCATAGTAATTTAAGGTGGGGAGAGAAAAACAGTGCCACATTTTCTACTCATTCAGAAAATGGGACATAGAGTAGAGGCACAAATGGTGCAATTAAAAAGCAATAAAATGTCATATCCACCCACCCCTGACCCAGAACAAACTCCCAGCTCCGATTTGCAAAAGTAAATGCATTTATGACAAAAAGGGGCGTGGGATGTGTCACATTAAAAATGGTCCCCATTCTCAACAACTTTCCTTCTAGACACAGGGAACAGAAAAACGAAAAGTTTCTTATGAAGCAACTTTGATGGATAGCAGAACTTTTATTTAGAATGCTTGGTTCTTTTTTTTTTCACTTTTAAAAATATAATTTTGGATCAAAACGTGATGGGTTCTGGAGAATAATCCTTGTTTACATTTATCAAAGCTTTTTTGGATCACTTACTTTCCTTTATCTTATATTTACATTTAACCCTGTCAGATTTCTTTGGACCATGATTAATGTTAAGGTAATTTTTGTAAAAAATATGTTTGAATGTTCTTATTACATGTACAACATTTTGTGTCGAGTAGCCACATATTTTCAATGTTTGTTTTATTTTACACCAGCGCTGTTTCGCCGTCATCATAAACTAGCATGACAAGGAAACTTCTGAACACAGTTGCAAATAAAAAAAAGAACAGAAAAACACCACGAAGAACTCCCAACACACACACACACGGTGCACAGCATCCGGAGGCGCCGTGCGTCCTACCTTCGGTGCAGCAGGTCCTCCACAGACCCGAGTGGGTCAGAACCTCTTCGTTCTTGTGAACGGTATCGTTGTCGTTCTGGTTTTTGGAACGACACACCCCGCGGGAGTACAGCCAGTAGTCCGTGCCCACGGCGATGGTCATGAGGCTGAAGGCGCAAAAAGCCCCCGCCGTGGTCAGAAGCATCATCACCCCGCGGTTACACACCCTCATTTCGGCCTCCTGCGCACCGGGGAGCCCACCAGACCGCCGACTCGCACTGGGTTCAGAGGGTGTTGTTGAGCACAAACTTGTGATCTCTTAACTTTGCGTGGTTCCAGTCGGCTGAAGAACGCGCAGATCTGGAGCGCATGATCCTGTCCATCCCGTGTTAAACGCTCATTAGGGGAGATTGAACTCGGTTCAAAGCATACAGATGATTCCAGGTAAAACCCAAAGAGGAGGATCACGGGATTTCGCCATTCCGTCAGAATAGAAAAAAAGGATGGGAAGTCAGAGGAGAGCCTGAATGAAGTAGTTGGGGTTAACACCATCGGATGCGGCGCACAGGACACGTTCTCGTTAGTTGTGGCTCAGCTCTGTGAGGCTGAAGTCTGCAGGGTGACTCCGCCTGCCAGAGAGCGTGTGTTTGTTTCTGTGTCTCACAGTGGGCCCCGGGGTCCTGGACCAGCAGAACAAGCACTGCCTGCCAGCTCAGAACACCGGAAAGCTGCTCAGTAGTGTTTGGGGATATTAAGGATCAGGAGGGTATTTTCCTAAAGCTAGAAACTTACCAGTCCTTCAATGTAATCAGATGTGTATTCTGCAAAGTGAACTCTTTGAAAGGGTTGAGAGTAGGGCCTACATTTTTTACACTAAGCTGGTAAGAATATACACCAGAGGGAGACACAAAGAGGGAATTCAATTTTGTGTATGGTTAGATATTTTGCTTTTATTTCAGAGTCACAGGCTTTTGATTGTGTTGTAGGTTGATCAAATCCAAATGGGCAACATGGAGACACCTCTATGCTGTTGAGTTCTGATTATGTCATTGTAGGAATTAACCATACTCTGGTTTTGACTGAAAATGCAATCATGAGCAGTTCCTCTGGCAAATATTTCCTCAGGGCATGCTCTTCATTTTCAAAGACACATTTGCATTTTCATCTTTAGAGTTTAGTCTTACAGCAATCTGAATGAGTTAGACAAGTAATGAAAAATTAACCTTCAAGGGAAATTTCCATAATTTTGATGAGTAACAGAGCAAATGAGAGTCAGAATCAATGCTGAAATAAATTATGAAGCTGTATAGGCCACATATGAAATACTTTTTCTGTGCATTAGAACAAAATATTTTGGGGTCTGGTTTAGCTCCTTTCTTTGCTTTATGTCAAAAGTGGGAAGGTCAAAACTCCTTTGGTTTGACTGCTTGTAATTAACAGCAACTTCTCTTCAGAAACCAGTCCTCTGACTGGTGTGAAGTACTGATCATCTACAGTGAAAATTTTGAACTTCATGTAAGTCCACCAGGTCAGTTTGATAAGAGGTGCAAAGTCATGGTGGAAAATGTTTTCCTGCCTCTCAACGTCACTTTGACCAAAATAAGTCAAATGTTATCATCAGACCTCAGGTCCTCAAATACCTAACCTTTTGTTTTAGGGGTTCATATTTTTGCCACTGTGTTTCCAAATGAAAATAAAGAAAGAAAGCAGAAAACTGGGGAGAGTGAATTGGTTTCATGATTTGTTTTAATATCCATTCTGTATGTACCTCTCACACTTAGGTAAAGATGGTGCATGCATCACATGTAGACTGTACTTTAAATCTTATTTATTGAGGTTGTCCTCTTAACCTCTTTCCTGTTGCATAGTATATATATCCATCCCCCCACCCCCACTTATTACCTTAAAATGAAGAGATCTGAAAGTTAGCCAGGAACAAGCGAAGGGGGAAGCGGAAAAAGAAAGAACAGATAACTTATAGGTAGACAAAAAGACATGATGATTAGGATAAATAAGGATAAAAAAGATAAACAAAGTTTAAAAAAAGACAACAAACAAGCCTCAAACAGAAATAAGGCTGTGAGGAATATCGGAATTTACAGTGACACGAAAAACTCTTCTAGCACTAAACCCCAATTTCTATTTACACACACACATGTCAAACACAAGTCATACAGAAGTTTACATCAACTCTATATGTTCATTAACAAAGTTACATGTTTTTTCTTGTCATGGGTAGCCATACAGTCTTTGCTCTGGGCCTTGTAAAGAAAACATCTCAGCTGTGCGTGTCCCAACACTTTGAGATAGTAAACACTGCCGTCAAAGTGGAAACTAAAGCTGGAATAGAGTGAGGAGTTCTCAGATATGACTTGGATAAAAACATTCAAGACACCTCCCAAGGTTTGTTCTCCTCAGTGATGTCAAAGGCAAATCTTAAACTACGTTACCAACAAACATGGCATGCATAGAGGAGCTCCACCACAAAGACTGTATAGGCCTACACAGCACTAACCCACTGCATACTCAGAGCCAAGGAGGGAGAAAAGAGTAAACCATTTCTACACACCACTGCCAAACAGGCATTCCTCCCGTTTTTTTTCTTTTTTGCATCGGTTTGGAAGACGAGACGTGCTTGAGAGGAAGTTCAGGACATACTTTGACACGAGGTTTTAAATCAGGACTGTGATGGCTGAAGGTTTAACTTGTCTCTAAACGGCAGTCTGTGCAGACTGCACACGTGTGTATGCGTCAGTCTATGCGTGAGCACATATACGGTATACCGATCCCGGAAAGTTCACAATACATCTCTTACAGGCTGAAGAGAAGGACATCTAGTAAACAAACCCACTCTTCATGATCAGTAGAGTAGGAAATCACACCTGCGACTCCTCGCCTGCTCATTGTGAGGCCCAGTGAAGGCTATGCATCCCTGTTTCCTGGAAACCAGCCTGCTGCCGTGTGGGGCTGAACTGGACTCCATGTGAAATCCCAACCACCTGTAGCTTTTACTTTTATCTTTCTTTGTAAATGAGGTGGCTTAGATTTACTGTTCTCTTAGAATGTTTGAGGGATGATATGAAGACTTGTATGAGTGAAAACAAATTGTTGTTGCTTTGACTTCCAATCATGCAATTAGTTGCTGGATCAGTCCGATTAAAAGCAGTTGGGCTGCATTGGTTGGAGTGCAGTCTTTTCCAGGCTGCATCCTACCGACACAAACTCCTCAGACCTGTATGACAAACTCCGGGTTGGTGTACGAGAAGCCTTGGAACTCATTCTGGTCCAGGTTCATGATGAAGAGTTTGTCTGTTGGTGTCAGCTCCACTGGCATCTTTGTAAACTCTTTGTCAAAGTTGCCAACATCTTGGCGCGATTTCTGCCAGAAGAAGATGAAGGGAGAAAGAGTTAGAAAAACACAAATTTAGAAGGAGGGTATACAGCGATAAAAAAGGCTGTTCAGACACAGTGAAGAAAGTGTTGGTGACAAACATTAAGATACGAGATTTTATAAGAGCACACAGATAAACACCGACAGAAGGACGGCAGTATTTGCAGCATAGTTAAAGACACAGTTAAGCACTAACCTGTAGAGCTGAGACAGAAATTGTTTTAGAAAACAATACGCAGTCCAAAGTCTTTTGAAGCTTCGTCAAGTCCTAAATTCTAACATCTTTTAGTGTTTAATGAAAGCCCAACAAGTCTTTCCCCAGTCTGCTAAATAAGACCTGCTGTGTCAGTATGGTAAGTGTCTTTTCTCAATGACTCAAAACAGTATTATTCAGATTTATAGGGTCAAAAGTGTCAGATCTCCTTTGTAAAAAGGGGATATACTTTAAATGCACAAATACTGAATAAGTAGCCTATGAACTGAAAGCATTGTTTTGAGTGGATATTGATTTTTAGTGATTCAGATATTATGTTGTGCTTCATAAGCTTGTGCATCCACCTTGAAGTAAAAGTATAACCTTTTCTATCAATCACAATAATAAATTTGGCTTACTTTTTTATCACAGCTTCAGTTTCAGAAATCTGATGGTATGTGTGCACATTTTGCCTTTCTAACCCTTCTATTGTAAATTTTAAGTAGTTTAAATTCCCATGTCTCTATCAAAGAAGAGCAAAAAGATAGAAAAAAAGATTGTTACAATGATTACACTTAAAATCATTTTAATTATCAAATTCACACTTTTGTGGGAAGCTTAGTTTAACATTTGATCCTGGCATGTTTTTACCAATTTGACAGTATGAAAAGTATTTCTTTGGTATCAAATTTGAATTACGTTTCAAATTTATTCTGTTAATGTCACTTATTGTCCATACATTTACACATGGTGGCATTATCAGGACTGTGCAAAACACACTGCGGAATGAAAACAGGATTTAACGGAGTGAATTGTTAAGAAAAACAAACACAAGCTGCCGACAGACCCAGAAAAACATTCAGAACATGGAAAAGATCCACCCAAACTATGTCAACAGCACAGATGCAATCCAAGACAAACTTCCAAAGCCAGAGAAAGGAAATGTTTCAGTACAGGGAAGACGAGAATCAATAAGAAACCAAAGCACAACCAGAAAGGGTTTCACACAAGGAAGTGAAGCAGTGAGCCCTTGGCAAGACACATGTATCACACACATAAAGTGTTCAGTTTCCTACCTCCTCCATTTGTCACATCACAGGGCTTCCAGCTGAAACGAGGAGGGGCTAGAAACATTTTTACCACTAATTCTACTTCTTGTTGTTCCTAAGGTTTTAGTACATTTTGTCTATAACATATATGCTTGTTTAATGCTGAAATAAACGGTAACTCTATATGAAGCAGTTATGACAAGTTTACAACTTATATGCAGAAATGATAGCAACTATAACTTGTGACAATAATGGTGGGACTTTCACATCTATTTGATGTGACAACAAACTATCCTGTGAAGCAGCCACCACTTTCCTTTCTTAAAAAAAGTTATTTTCAATCAATTCTACACTAAAGGATAGTATATCCTTTAAAAGTATATTTTTGTAACGCTAATAAATCAATACATTTCGGGCTATCCATCCATTTTCGTGGCTGAGTTCGGGTCAGAGGCAACAGGAGGGAAAGTCAGACATCCTTCTCCCCAGCACCGCTCCCTAATTCACCTGGAGGTTCCCAAGGCATTCCCAGGCCAGATGGGATAGATATTCCCTCTATTTAGGCCTGTGTCTACTCCAGTCTTCTCCTAGTAGGATGTACCTGGAAAATCCCCGTAGGGAGAGGGCCAGGAGTCATCCTTACTACATGCATGAACTCCTGAGTGGCTCTATTCTGAGATCACTCTAGATGGCCGAGCGCCTCACCTCATCTCCAACACTGAGCCCAGCCCCCCTCTCAAATAAACCCTTTTCAGCCACGTGTATAGGTCGCGTGAATATATTCTGCTCTACATCTCTGTGTAAAAATGGTCTTCAGCTGTTACTTGTGCTCTGTTGCAATACAGCATTCCTGTTCAGTTGGCACATGCATCACATGTCAGCCTTTTCGAATGACTCAGTAAAAATATAAGTTCTTTTGTTCTTTCTACTAGCTTTGAGCTCTTTTCGGCTAATCTATCAGCTTCCTTGTCCTCTGGTGGATTCATTCAGCAGATTGGCATTCCTATTAATGTTTCAAAGGAACAGCTCTTTCCTGTTTTGCATTAAGTTACAGGGCATTCACAAGGAAATAAAATGAATTAATATTCCATCTACTTAGAAAAGGAATCAGCATTTAAAGTTTTCCCGTAATGACAAAAATCACACAACCCTCATATTGTTTCCTTAAAACATTCATTAAAAACTGTCAGAATCCTCCTCATCATCTCCTCTCATCTAAATTAAAAGCACATCAAACACGTCAAAGGTTTTTTTTTTAAATAAGTAACACCCAAAGTTCAATGGAAACATAACAGTGGAATTGATCCCTTCATCAGGCCAAGCAACAAATAAACATTTATGCAGATATGCTGAATTGACCGAAATGTTGTGGCATCAGTAACAAGGCAGACACAGCAGAAGTATTCTGGCCAGCACCAGTGAGTATATTATCAGTTTCCAGTCGTACAAGACAATTACACAATCCACAGAAGCATCTCTCCCATCCAGAAAAAGAAATATCCAAATATCTTTCTGATATAGAACTCATCATATATGTGCATATATTGTATTATTCTGCTGTATCTCAACATTGATTTGTCACTATTAACGTAATCACAAAAGGTGCTCAATGTTTTTTCACCAGGTAGAATCGTAGTTTTTAAGCAGGTATCCTAACGTCACCGTACTACTCAATTTGTGATACAAGCTCTAAGAACAAGATTTGACACACTGTTACTACCTTGCATCATTACACAATTACAAAAGTATAATACAACAAATTCATCTTATACTCGAAAATGACTTTCTAAGGGCATTGTTTTGCTGCTGAATACAGTCTAATGGATATTACGATGATCATACATATACTACAAAATGGCACAAAATGGCTGCCCTTCATCACAGTTGTTGAGAGGTATATTTTTTCTACACCCTCACGATTCTGAACTATATTTTGGCACTTTTAGAAATCCTATTTCTGTTAGTGAACAAACTACCAGCTACACAAGACTTCAAACGGCTTATTTGTATTTGAACCTCTGTAAAACGGTTGTTTTCAAGCCAATAAATATGCCCTCTGTCAATGGAGGCACAGTGTAATGTGGAGGATGTGTTCAGATATGGATTCAGAGAAAGGGAATGAGCCTTCAGTAAAACAAACAATAGAAAAAAAGCTTAATGCACCCTTTAACTCTTGTGGACAGTATGTGTTAAATCAGCAAAAAAAATGCAGATAAGCTCATCACAACGCTGAACAGAAAGTGTATCACTATTTGATCCAACAGAGAAAAGTAAACATTGGGAAAATGATTAGTATTAAAACAATTATAGAAAAGCAACTTATCAGTTTTCACTTTCACTGTATGAATTACCAACATGTGATCATAGTATATTCATCAACATCACTTACGGGCCATCCTAATCAATATGGAGTCATCAGGGAGGGAGGGAGAGGCAGAGCAGGCTCAAGTCAGAGTCTAAAAACTGAGCTTGCTGATGTGAGCAGCTGGGCACCACCCAGATGCTAACAACAATTCTTTACTAAAGGTAGAAAAACAGCCAGTGGAGCTGCTTCAAGAGCAGTAATCATGGGCTAAACTACATTATAAGCAGGACAGTGTAATCACTGGGATGTTGACACATGAGTATCTGATCATTTTTAGTTGTGCATTTGTGCACGTCTGCTATCACAAGTGAACATTATTTTAATAATGTGTCATTTAGAGGGAATTCATTTAGTTGTTTTATTTCCAAGAGTCAACTAGTCGGTTTCCTATGGTGTTGGGACCTGTAAATTATTATCTTTTCTTAGCATGAAACCCAACAACAAGACTGCGGAAACTAACGACACTAAACTGTGCTTCTGAGACTCTACAACACCAAAAGGGAGTCCGTTAATTAAAAGAAGTAGCAAACGGAGCAGTTTAACAGGAAGAATTTCCAGCTAAAACAACATATTGCAAATGTTCACAGGAATAGGAGTTCTCTGGATCTATCAGACCAAAGAAGAGATGGATAAATGTTGAGATCGTGGTCTGAAATGTAACTGATAAGAGCACCAAAGCATTACCAGTCATGAAAAAATTCCTGTTATAAATTGTTTATCCTTTTATATAATTTGGAGCCCACCGTTTTTTGTTTTTTTTTGGAAATTAGGGGAATGCCAGTCAAATTAGGCTGCAATTTGGCACCCAAATGCGGCAAATTAAGCCACGGATCGCAAGTGCCAACATGCTGATTTTAGAGTGTAACTTGTAGCATGATGTAACATGTATGTGTCGATGTTCTTTTTCACTAGCTGAGTCACGACATTTATTTGCATTGAATCTTCAATACTTCCATTGGTAAATGTCAGCGTAGTACACTGTGTACACATGTACTTACTTGCACAGTGTGTAAATTCTGACAGTGATGTGTGGTGGTGTTTTAAATTCAACAGACACAGCTATTTTTGTGGTCCACCATTTGCCTCAAATGGTACGACCACGAAGAATGAGAAGAGTATGGCTTTTCAAAACAAAGTTTGTGACCGATCCACAACTGAATGAAGATACACTTTACAGTGTGAATGCACTTTTCTATTAAAAATAGAAGTCGAGTCGACACAGCATTGTTTTTAAGTACAGAAACTGAAGTAATTGTTTAGAAATGCTTCAGATTCCTCAGCCTCAGTGAGGGCTGCAACTACAGTGGGGGCACCATCAACTACTCAGCAGCCAATAGGAGGAGGATGTAATTGGTGCACATGCTGATACTAATACTAGCTGACTAGCATCCACTGCAGCTTAAAAAATCATCCTAGAATTTGATTTAACCAGAATTAATGCTGTAAATATTGTTCATTTCAACATTTGTATTTTTGGCTCAGCTAAATCTGGGGAACTTTATTCTGAGCTAACCTAATCATTTTACAGCTGTAGTTCCACTTTTGGAAAGAAAGTTAACGGGGGAAAAAACACATTTCCTAATATGTCCACTTTTTTTTTTAAACATTCCACTCTGCTCAATACAGCCAGGATCTTTTTTCGTATTTTTTTTATACTTTCCACTTTGTTTTTCCTGTACAGTATGACAGTGAGGTGTTGATGATTGGTAAAGCTGCCCAGGGATATGTGGCATGGTCAGTGACTTGAGTTAGGGTACTCCGGGTTAACAAATGAGAAGCCTTGGAATTCTTCCTGGTCCAGGTTGCCTATAAGCTCCAGATCAGGGGGAGTCAGCTCTGGGGGATTGCGTGTGAAAAAGCGATCAAAGTTCTCCGCGTCACGCCCACACTGTTGTGGAGAGGAGAGAGATGAGGGGTCGGAGTGAGTTTGATGGAGGATGACATGAAAAAAAGGACAACAAACAACAAAGAGAAAAAAGAGAAATAAAACTAAAGCATGATATCAACCAATAAAATCATTCACAGTCGAAACTGTGGATTTCCATTGGTCTAAATGAGAGTAGTGATTTCTCGGCGTCATCATTGGTGACTACACTCACAAGTCTAAATTTGTCAGAGTAGTGACCAATAGCAGGTGATGGTTGGGTTCAGGTGATGAGCGATCCAATAGTTTTTGTAACTTACCTTGACAATTTGACTAAGCCATTGTCTTCCTTAGTGTTTCTAGGGCTAACATTGAGGGCTGGGTATTTTTAGGCTGCTAATGGGAGTATGTATGCATACAATATACTCACAGCTTTCGGTTTGAAAGGAGGCTGGACCTCTTTGTTCTCCAGTTTTTCCCAGTCTATGTAGCGGAAGAAAGCGTGCTCCTTGATGTCTCTCTCTCCCTCTGAGCCACATCCCAGACGCTTACCTGGGTGTTTGGTCATCAGCTAAAAGCGCAATGCACAAACACAAAGTGTTTGATCGGTTTACATTTAAACCAGGACCGTCTCACGTCCGAAATTTTTTTTCATTTGAAATAGATTATCTGCAACATTCATCGATGTGACCTGACCCTATTAATAAATAAGTGAGCAAATGGAAAAATAATTACTAATTAGGTGTAAGAAAAACAGGAAGTAAAGTGGACTAGTAATTACATCCTACTTTCAATAGGGTTAGGCGTTGAAAAAATAGCACGGCTTATGTAAAATCGGATTCTTTGCATCTTAGAGCAAAATGTAGTTGCTCCAGGATGCAGTTTTGCCCTCTGGATGCATGGCAATCTAATGGTGTTTCTGCTTGTAGGAGAATCATCTGCTAAAATATTTACACCACTATGTGTTTGGTTTATCTTTTGGCTACTGAATTAGAAACAAAACTATAGAAGGTCATTTAAAAATTGTACTAGTATCAGTCTGTATTCAGTAACACTGATTTTATCAGCTGAAACAACACTATTCTGGATGGTCAACACCACCATTATGACATCAGATGGGCAGATGGTTCAAGGGCTCAGTTGGGATTGTATATCTATGTATGGGCAGTAAAGTGTGTGTTCTCACCCCCTTGCAGATAGCAACAGCTTCTTTGGACATGGATTTAGGATAAGAGACATGATGCTCCATGATTGACTGGAACAGCTCATCTTCATCCTCCCCATCGAAAGGTGGCTATGAACATAGAAACACACTTTTAGATATTTTCAGTTCTTGCTTACACATTGAAATTGTGAGCAATAAATGAAAGCCCACCTGCCCAGCAAGCATTTCATAAAGCAGTACTCCAAAGGCCCACCAGTCCACGGACTTCCCATAAGGCTGATAGGCTATGATCTACAAGGAAGAGAACAGTGCCACTTATTTGTTAATTTTTTTTAATAAAAACTAACAGCTAACAGTTAACGGTCCAACAGCTCCTGGACTACAACTAAACCCACCTCTGGAGCAATGTAGTCTGGTGTTCCACAAAACGTCTTGGTGGTAATTCCATCAAACATGTTCTCTTTGCACATGCCAAAGTCTGCAATCTTTATGTGGCCTTCAGAATCCAGCATCACATTGTCCAGCTTCAGATCTCTGCAAACACACACATGAAACAGGATGTTATTCATACATAAGTTTTGAAATTACCAAAAACTTTCCATAGAAAGTGCAGCAGGTTCAGTAAAAGACTAACCGGTACACGATTCCTTTGGAGTGAAGGAAGAAGAGGCCAATGGCAATCTCTGCAGCATAGAACCTGAAACATAGAAAAGCCATATTTGTACATGTTATCACGGGGCTATCCAAACATCTCAAATAATATATTTAATCCATAATCCTAGACATTGTATTTTAGTCACTATAATACGAAAATAATTTCTGCAGCAGATTTTGAAATAAGAAAAGACAAATGGAGATAGCAAATGCAATCATATCTATATAGTTACATAAGTTTAGCCTATTTGACAATGTGAATACACATCTAAATGTGTACAATACACATGGTGTTAGAATACTCACACAGCATGAGGCTCCTTGAACTTGCCAACCTGTTGGATTTGGTACATGAGGTCTCCTCCATTTATATACTCCATGACAAAATACAACCGATCCTACAAGAGATGATGATGACACAGGGGGCTGAACACCAGAATGAACCAATCAAGACAGGTTTTTCCTCTATTTATGCAAGTTAGTTTAGTTCATAGCTGACTGACCAGCAAACAATAGCAAGGTGTAAAAGATTTCTGCACGAGTATTACCATGGTTTGGAAACATGAATGCAGCTGTGTGAGGAAAGGGGGTTTTCCAGACAGAGCGAGGACTCTCTTCTCCACCATGGTGCACTCCACATCATCGTCTTGGATCACCACGTCTTTCTTCAGGATCTTAATGGCGTACAGCTCATCTGTGCCTTTCCTCTCAGCCAGCATCACCTGAAAGGGAGGCCGCCAAAGGAAATAAATCATCCTCAGAGTGAAAGGTAATTCTGTTTTCTAGCCACACCTTTGTGCCAACGTGTCCCACCTTGCCAAAGCTGCCTTTTCCCAGAACCATGATGAAGTTGAAGTCTGAGAGCTTGACGCGATCCTGATTGCCATTGCTGTCATATTTGTATACGGAGGAAGAGGAAGACGAGTCGGTGGGCTTCCCTGGACCCACTTTTGCCCTCTGGCAGGAGAAGGAATTGTTTAGAAAGAGTAAGATAAAGTGCTAGAAACAATTAAGCAACAGCACCTTCCTCTGTAGCTCACCTCAAACTTTTGTCGTAGCTCCTCATTACCATCTTCGCCATCTGGCTGGACGGGAACATTAAAGTACTCCCCTTCCTCTTGGGAAAGCAGCTTAAACCTGAAGCCCAGCATTAAAACAGATCAAATTGAAGGTTATCACCACACCGTGAAAATTTTAAACCATTTCTCTTCTGCCTTTGCTTTTTTTGTCTTCACATGAGGACATCTCACCATCCATCAATCTCAAGTTTCTGTAGCTCAGATATTCCAAAGGACAGTGATCCCATGAAATCATTCCTGCTGGTCAAATCCCAGTCCCACACCTCCAAAGACAGACGACGGTCCTTGTCAGTGTCTTTGAGTTTACTAAGAAATTAAAACAAAGAGCAGAACAATCAGCTGGAAGATATGGTCAGATAAATAGGTAAAAACCCGCATTGAAACCCTCTTGTTAAACCTGAAATCATCTGGGTAAGTATTTATGGCTGCATCTTACTTAGCAGGCAAAGTAACCCAGAAAAGCTTTAGCAACAATGAGCACAAACAGGGAAAAGAATGAGGACAGGGGCACTTGCATGAGCTTCATTGAGCTTTGTGTTTATGTGACTAAAAAGGAGGCCAAAAGAGTCATTCTGAGCAAAAGGAGTTCCCAACAAGCCCAGAAAATAATCATGGTGAGCCCAAACTCTCAAACATATGGCACGAAACGAGTGATGCCTCACAATGTGAATGTCTCATTCCAGGTGGGGTTGAGGCAGCATTTAATGGTCTTCGTCTTCTGCTTGCTCTCACTCTTGGGATCTGGGATCAGCTTGAGCTTGACATAAGGGTCTGACAGGCCATTGGGGTCCATGGGCACCAGGTTCCTAGCCTCTTTGACTGTAATGATTTTGAAAACACGGATAAAAATAAGTGTCAGAAGAGAGAAAAATCCCATGATAAAACACACTTTTTGACCACTTAGTTTAGTTTGAATCTGTCCTTTCTAGAGGACAGCAAGAGGTGAACCTGAAAATGGTAACGCAACACACCCACATCCAAAGCTTCGAGTGTTGCCCTGGTCTGCCCTAAATACATCTGGCAACACTTAACAACAGTTTAGTTTCTGTTCTATAATCAATTCACAGCTGTCTGGAAGAGAGCGCTTGCACGTGGACACATGTCCCAGTGGACATGTGGGTCAATCGTTGGATCATTGAACAACTAATGGACTTTCCAGTTTTAGTTTTAGGCTGATAGAGTGCTCTGCGCAGAGTGTGCATTTGTGCCTTTGTGTATGTGTGTCAGAGAAAAAGTGAGAATGAGCAGGGTAATGGACAAAGAGTACTCACTACTGACGGTGAGAGTTTGCGCAACAATCTGGGCGGAGATTTGAATGCGTCCTCGCCTCTCTGTGTGATCTGTCCCACACAGGCTCGGGACATTGGCAACACATCGCTTGTGGATGTTCATCATACAATCTGAGCATATAAGGGGGAAAAAACACAAAAGTTCAAGAGTCCATAAATGATATGTGCATAAAAGTATCAAATCTATGTGACAAACAAGTGACCTTCTACGCAGTAACACCTATATCTATATATATCTATATGTATCTATTAAAGCTCAAAGATCCCAGTTTTCCTTATAATAATGCTAAGATTTGTACATAGTTTTAGTATTAGATTGGCAACGTTCTCCTCACCATTTACATTGTTAAATTCTTATTCAGTAAAAAATTAAAAATATTAAAATTCTATGTTTCTGACTTTTATGTGAGGATTATTGACTATTGAAATGGCATAAAAGAGTATCTTATTGACTATTTGTACCAAAAGCAAAAGAAACTCATTTGCAGATTGGGACTTTTCAGAAATAGAAGTTAGTCCGATTGGCACTAGAGGACAGCAAACATTTGTCTTTCTACACGAGGAGAAACTGAGAATGACTGTTTGTGTGGGGATCCGTAGCAGTGCTGCAGCAACATTCAGCCTGTGGTACTTACGCAGACAAAAAAAGCACATGGAATCCAGTTTTAGCCTTGTTAATGCAACATGTATCAGATTTATATGCAACCATATAAAAGTTCCAAATAACATATATAAACATAGAAACAAAAGATCAGATTTAGGCGCCCCCCTGCCCAAAAAAAAAAACCAAAAAAAAAAAAAAAAAAAATCAGAGTCAATTCTGGTGTGTAATGTCAGGTCGAAGATGAATCCTGAAACTGGCAAATGGCATCAAAGAAACCAAAGCTGAGAGTGAGACAAAACATCATGCCTGGATTTGATTTGCTTCATTCTAATGTAATTTTTCCTTTTATTCCTTATACAAGAAGCACGAGTATTGATTTTCGGACACCAAGAGAAAAAAAATTCATGGAGCAGGTGGCCTCAGTTTTGGAGTGCAGTCCAGCATTGTTTGACTTCATATGCCAAATAAAAACTACACGTGAGACGCAGGAGAGACTGCTACACAGCAAGAGAAGCAATTTTCTGATTTCTAAATCTTGTTGAAGCCCAACCTGAAGACCACTTCCTGTATCACTTTCACTGAAACCCTATTTATTGTTTTCACCCAGGGTGAGGTACCTTCATTCAATTTCTGAAAACAGGGACAGTAACTTGCACCTGAAAATTGCAGATTTTGTTCTCCACCCGCCTCACACTTCCCTCAACACATGTTACACTTGTTTGTCCAAAATAAAAATGTAACAGTATTTGAGGAAACACAATGTGGTTGTGAAGCGTGATGGGAACAGACTGGAAAGCAATGGCACAAAACTACAGTTTGTAGTGCGCACCAACACACAACTAAGGTATAGCATCAGTGGTGTTCAGAAAGGACTGTGTTTGTGGAAATGTGCACACATGTTTGAACTAAAATAGACATTGTTCTGCCTAATAGAACCATTAATACATTTTCTGCAGTACTTTGAATTATATATATATATATTTATATATGTGTGTGTGAAAATAAGGCCATTTGCATCTATAACCACATTTAATATGAATTTATTTAATATACCCTCATCTATTGTCATTCATTTTGAAATTATCTACAAATTCTGAATTTTCAAAAATGAAGAGAAACATAGGTCTTTGAGATCATAAAGTCAATACTTGGTCTGTCCACTGGGTGGCAGACGGTTCTGATGTACAATCATCTTGCTCTACGCTCTGTTTAGTGGGTGGTGTTGAGGCTCTGCAGAGGAGGAGAGTGAGATGTTAATCTCATGCTGTCCGTACTTCTGTTGAATTTTATCTTACATCACCGTAAGGCAGAAAACCAAATACATCACTCAGTGATGCAACTTGATATCTGTTACTGACTTCCACCAAATATTAAAGGGAGTTGAAACAGAACACAAATATTGATGTTGCAGTGACACGGTAAGTAATGTTGAAAATGACACAACTACTGCTTATGCTGCATAAATGTATGCATGTGTCCTTTAAGATTGTAACAAATTATAAAGGATTTTAAGACAGGAAAGTTTGAATCTGAACTTCTGAATAAAAAAGGATTTTAGCCATCTTGATTTGCTGAAACAAGCCTGTAAAAGTGAAAGAAAATCAAACACTCGTCTACACTTATGTAGGGAGTTTTTATGAATTGCTGTACAAGCAAACTTCTTATTGAAATATGTATTTAAAAAGAGTAATATTATGTGGCAGGCCAAAGTCCACTGTCAAGAAGGAAAGGCCTACCTAAAAATAGAGTTTGTTACAGATTAATACAGCATTGCACAGAAAGGCTTCCTGTGCGCAATAAATGTGATAACTAATGAAACGTAAAGGCACATAATAACCTGGTCAGTCGTTGTAAATGATGCATACCATCAGGGTTCAAACAGAGAACTGGTTTTGGACCACAACAACTGGCACATTAACAGTGACACGTGGATTACAGATCAAATTGTGAGAAATGTTTGGATGATAAATATTTTTAAAATAATTAAAAAGGTGAAAAATATGGACAATGAAATAAACTTTTTGAAATTATCATTATATACAATGACCAGGATGATGGTGGTACCTCTTAAATATCATGAATTTGAGCAACTAACAGAAAAATATAAATAGCCAGATCAACTCTGCTGCACACCAATAGAAGAGCTGACAACTGTTTTTTTAACTTGAAAACCTGAGGATTCATGAGCCATGATTTTCACTGTCTTTGTTATTCAACTATTCATCTTTCACACATTGGCATACAATCATGGATTGGCTGTTTTTCTTTGTGTGTAGCTGTAATGCACTTCCTGACCAAAAGTCAGTCTGAAGTTAAAATGCACCACAAGATAATGAGAAGTTTCTCCAATGTTGTGTACACAATAGCGTAACAATAACAATGAGGGTGTGCTCAGTGTTAGGAATCAGCAGCTTCATATGGAGTCAGATTTCATCCTTCAGAGTTGTGCCTTTTTTAAAGAGTTAAAAAAACATCTAATCCCTCAGTCAGGTGGCATTTATTTCTGTTGTAATAGATTACTATGGATATATTCAGCTATAGCTTATTTTTGAGCATACAAACTGTACGGATGATGAGGCGTTTGTATTATTGCCAATTTAAAAAAGGTGATTTGTGCTGCACTTCGAGTTTGACAGGAGACTAAATGAGACCCTCTGATTCCCCTCCAAAGCTCAACCCTTCTCACACACACAAAAGTGCATATATTCATGTACATACGGTCGCATTTCATGCCCTGGTGTATCAGCCCGTAGAGGAGGGAGCCACAATGGTCGCAGAAGGTGGGACTGGAGTAACTGTGGACCCTGAACTTGTGTTTACTTCGAGGATCCTGCAGAAAGAGAGAAGAGACTTCTGACTTCAGCCGTAAACCAGGTTGTTTTAGCATCTGTGTTGACTCTCTTTAAACATTTGAAATTGTAGGTTCAGGTGTTGTTGTTTTTTTTACTGAGTAAATTAAAAGAAATTCTCATGAATCATAAATTATTTTTTAATTCCTACACTAGCCTCCTTCGGAGGCAGCTTTCTCAAACAAAAAAAAAAGAAAAAGAAAAAACTGGCTTCAACATTTGGCTCTCTTTCAGACTAGTGCATTAATAAGGTCAGCCACTGATGCTGGAAGATGAGGCCTGGCTTGTAGTTCATCCCAGAGACAAAGCTGATGCCCAGGCTCCCGCAGGCTGATTAAATACTTCAAAAGCAAACTGTGATAACCACTTATTTTACAAGCCAGAATTTGCCAACAAGGGCCTCATCATTCTGTAAGGGTTTGTTCAAAAGCTACTCTTTTCCAAAATACTGTATATGGCATCCTTTCTCCGCAGAGTACATTAACTTTCAACCTTTTACTATAATGGTAGTTCGTATAATGTAGTTAAAAGAGAATAAAGAGTCGTTCTAATTTGTTTGTGTGAACGTATCTTTAAACATTACCAACTTCATAACAGTGAGAGAAATAAAACAATGAAACAGAATAGAAATGGAAAAGACTTGGTAATATAACAACGACAAAGGGGAGTTAGTGATTAATAAACATCAGCATATATCTTCAAAATGCATGCTGACTCAAAAACAGAGGGGGTGAGGGAAATTGGCTCATTGACTTGAGGCAGCCAGGCAGCACATTTTCCCTTTACTGACATGTCTCAATATGACATACGAGAAAGGGGGATGGACAAAGGTCACGTCTTTAAGCAAATCAAAAGCCAAAGCTGACATTGCTCATTTTATTAATAACCAGAATTTAATGCCTGAAAAACTCACACGCATGACAGAATACCTAACCTGAACAAAGGCGAAGTCATCCGTTTTAGTGCACACTCCTTTAAAAAGCCCGTCTCTCATCAACTTATCACTTCGATTTGAACACAAGATTAAATAAAAACAATTTGCATGTGCCTGCGTGTGTTTGGGCTTCTTCTTTACTTACATCTGAAGCTGGTCCCTTGTCGGCCCCCGGGCAGGAAAAAGTGACAAATTCATGACAGCGTTTGTGGACCACAAAACAGCACACTGAGGGAGAGGAGACAAGCAAATATTAGTGACTTCCTTGCACTGCCAAATATGGTCACACCAATAGCTACACAACCATGAAGAAAAGCAGTTTGCTTGGCATTTGTCACATCACAAGAAAACTATCTGAGAAGTTCTCTTAATGGGCCTTTTTGCTTTTTGCCTTTGTACCAGAGACTTGAGAGGCAACATTACCACGGTGGGTCGTCTCATAATTCCCCCCATCAATATTAAAGTTGCCACAGGAAACTTCCCACACTGGAAGCTTTAAATGGCAGCAGGCTCTACGCCTGGTGATTTCTCTGCAGGTTTGCTCTCACAGCTGGACATCAGTCAGTGAAGTGAGGGACTGAAATAAACACTGCACATACTCGCAAACTAATTGAGCACACGATGGCATATCAGGAGTCTTTTATATGGAAATGAGAGGAACAAGAAGGGATGAAAGTCTCGGAACAGGTGTGATGAAACTGATCATATAAAATCATATTCTCTTGAAAAATAGTTGGATTGTTTGGTATGGAAAGGATCATGTATAGAGAAATATGCTTTAAATGTACATATTTCTATCCCCAAACAATGACACACTAAAAAGCTTGAGAGTCTAATGTCTTGTTTTGTCAAGCAACACTTTAAAAAAGCAAAGATATTACATTTAAGATTACAGAGAACTGCAGACAGCCGTTTCTGAGAACTCATAAAACATCAGGATTGAATAACGGCATAGAAGAATCACAAGTCATTCATTGCTTTGCCAACATAAATATTTACCAGCAGCACTTGGGTTTTCCTCTGAAAGGAAACCCACTTTTGCTTTTTGGGGGGGTTTGTCTTGGAGAGTTTTGCTTTGACTGTAGTATTAATCCAGTAATTTGTATTAAATCCACCATCATGGAAAATGAAATAACCACATCCTCACAGAATCCAAATGTGAAGTGATGTTTTTTCCGTACATGCCTGCACAGACCGCTTTACTATATCCCTGTAATGCAGAGTTTCCACATGTTGGTTAGAAACACTGAGTGATAATAAATCCGAGAGGTTCTTCAGACGCAGCCGAGAGGTCTGAGCCAACGTAACCAAGACAACCATGTCACTGAGTGGCAGACACCTTGTCTTTGATTTGGTGATTCTTATTCAATTCTGAAGAAAGACAACGTTTTTATTTATTGTGTCCATCATTATCTTTTTGTCATATTTTTTTATATATAGTGTTTGACAAGCAGGGAAATTTGGATAAACATTTTACCTTTAATCTAACTTTCATTTGATCTGATGGCAACTTCATGTTTTTTCTGGTTTGGTTAAGTTTTTCTAAAGGTTACTGATTTGAAGACAAACCCTTGAGGGAAAAATTGTTAATTTAAATATTTTGCTCATTATAAAAGGATAATCAATAGAACTTGTTTTAAACACAATAGCATCTCTCTCAACCAGTACTGTGCTATCTCAGTTTGGATTTAGGTCATCAGCTTTGTCATGAAATAAAAGCTTTTTAACAGCTTTATAGAGGGGGGAAATGGATCACAGCTCAGCAGACTGTGGTGTCGAGAGGGTTCTGATGTCAAGTAGCTTATAAGCCTGTGAGGCAAACTGATAGAATGTCTGTGAGCAAGGGCAAAATCTATCTTTTTTTTCAATCTAATTCTAACATGTAGTTATGGTGGGACGCCCATGTGTTTGCATCATGTAGAGCACTAAAAGGGTTCATATAAGTTATTTCAAGCCTTTAAATGGGGTGATACTTCAATAAAAAAGCTAATGCTCACATGCTGTACATGTTAAATATGCTCTAACTGAGTGAGGATCACCAAATGTAGCTCACATTTTGGTACCCTGCAGTTTGCAATGGATGCAGCCCTTGTTCTGATATCGCTGTTGGGTCCGTCCACCAGCTGACGGATTACATCAGCTTTATCTGATCTATGTAGCTCTTGACAAGCAAGTGTGCAACCCAAAATGTTTGTCTTTTAGAGTTGGCTGGAAATCAACTGGAAAATTAACACGATAAGAAAATAATCAAATATCTGGATGATCCACATATTTGACCAGCACATGTCATACCGTACTTCAAAAGACAACCAGCCAATATAGTTTTTAAGAGAAAAGCGACACATCCAAGTGCGTCTCACTCAAATACAAATAAACTACATCTATGAGCGATTTTGAAACGTAAAATCAATTTGACACACCAGACAAAGACTGTCGTCTCAACAGCTGCGCTTTCGCTTCACATTGTTGGCGGACTCTGTTCTTAAGGACAGTGATCAGAGGTGATTTAAGCCACTTCAACTTGACAACGAATGCAGCATCAAATAAAAAGACAGTGAACACCTCGTTGGCTCACATTTCTAAGCACCATGACAATCTAAACATGCTGCAGGCATAACAAAGAAGGCAAGCACACAGACCGCCACATCACTCTGCCCTAATCCGCAAATTCGCCACATTCCTGATTCACAATTTTCACGAAGCACCGTTGCAGCTGCAGACACCGTCCAAAAGTTTAGCGGTAAAGTTATCATTTTGACTCAAAATAGAAACCGAAGACAAAGCTGAAACTTGGACTGAGAGAGAACAAAAGGGAATGAGCTGACTGACTATGAGGGATGGGACTTATACAGTGGAAAAACAAATCTCTGTATTTGAGGGGACCAGGGCTGTCATGTGGTGCTGTGCAGCTGTACAGAGTGTGACGAAGCTGCTGAGACAATTCTGGAGAATCTGGTATCATGATTTTCCATCCTACAAACACTTTGCTCAACAGCTCCTGCCATAATTGAGACAGTGGAGAGGGTGAAACATTCCTATAATTTACCTGGTAACATCCATTAGGTCAAGCTCCTGCTAACATGGCCACCCTATGGTCTGCTGCACTTAGGGAATGTTATTTTTACCTCTAATGAATGGTTGAACTTTGAATAAACGTCAGAATTTAGGAGGACCAATGCGATTTTCAGAAGGTGAGGAAAGAGAGGACATTCTGTCCTTACAGAGCCTCAACAGTTTTCATAGTTGGTTTGAAACTGGTTTAGTTCTGGGTGAGGATAAGCGATGGGTCATTTCTTTACTTCTGACGGTCACATTTGTTGAGATGGATTTAAAAAAAAAAAACATTACTCCAATGAAGGGGCCTGACAGAGACAGTACTGGAAAAGCAGGTGTGTGTTTGTGTGTGAGTGAGAGGGAGAAAGAGAGAGAGAGAGAGAGAGAGAGAGAGAGAGAGAGAGAGAGAGAGA